TTTTGTTTAACCAAAAATTCTAGAAAAAATATAGTCCAGTGGAAGCAACACACGCCCTGGAGGCAGGTGCCCTGCGCAGGCTTTTCCCTTAGCCTCTATGACCTTGAAGGCTGAGTTGGGGGTCGCCACAGTCACCCGCCCTCACCGTCGTCACTGCACCTCGTGCTCTCCAGCTCTCTGCAGTGCTCAAGCCTGGAAGCCCAGTCTGCTGGCGCAGGTCCACCTACATGCAAGCCAGCACCTTTCACCTGCATCGGCGCCGGCTTGCCCCCCAGAAAGGATGGACACCATGGCATCATGGATTTCATTCTCTATTGTGCCGAGGAACCATGATCTCACGTACAGGGTGAAATAAAATACAGGGGGAAGACTCCATCCAGGAAAACAGTCTCATTCAAGTTGTCCATGCCTTCCTGTCTGTAGTCCATCTGTTGTGAGAGCCTCGGTTTCCATGTGTGCACTGTTACTACACAGTGATAGGTGGCAGCGTGGGGGCTACCTAATGTAGCCAGAGAAGATCATATCTACCGACATTTATATATTTAGAGCTAGTATTTAAAGAAATCAGGACTTCAGACTTAGCTATACATTGAAAGACTTAGCTATACATTGAAATGCTGAATAGAAGTAACCACAGAGGATGTGTCCAGGTTTGATAAAAATTAAAATTAGATTTGCCTGCAGCTTCAGTTGAGTCCTCTTGCTAGGAGTCAGGTGCACATTGTGTTTTCTGTTGGAGAGCTCAGTTGGTTCCTGCGAGGCCTGGGAAGGGGCAGCATGGTATTGGTGGGTTTGTAGCAACAGTGTTTTGTGTTATTAGAACCGTGAGTGTTCTAATAACAAACCCACCACCTCCATTCCCGCAGCTTGTTTTAAGGAGCTGCTTGGAACCTGGTACCAGGAAGTCGTGACAGAGGGTCCGGTCCCTGGCAGCTGGGGCCAAGCCAAGCATTCATGGGGCGATCTTCCCCCCTCCAGCCTCCCCGTGGAGATGTGCAACATCTCAGAGTAGTTAAGGTAGACTTGGGTTTGAGCCTTACCTGAATGACTTACTAGCTGTGTAATGTTGGCTAAGTTACCTGACCTCTCTGAACCTCAATATCCTGGAAGTTACAAGTCCAGGTACCTATCTAGCTTTGCCCCCAACAGGCTCTGTGACAGGAAGGCTGTGTGAGGGGACCCGGGAGGCCTCTGACAGTTCTAATATTTCATGATTTTATGGCTCCTTCTTCATCCACTGAGAAATAAACTGAGCTGGTTATGTTCTCATTCTCAGGGGAGAAAACAATTAGAAGTACTCACTGCTTTTGGTTTTTAAAGATTTGTTTCTGACAAAGCCTGGCCATGGCAGCTGGTGGTGGCCTTGTCTTTTCCTCCCTGATGGGTCTCTGGGACAAGTGCTGTGCAGGAGGGCTGAAAACAGCCTTGCAGAGCCCAGGCACCCATCCTGTCCTTGGCCTCTTAGAGAATGACCCCTGCAGCCTTCCTCTGTAACAGCAGCAGCAGGACCATTCAGCACTGGCCCCATCACAGTATCATCCTAAACAAAATGCCCCCAGGGCTGGCCAGACCTGAGAGACATATGATAAAGCCCAAGTGAGAAGCCAGGAGCCACCTCCCCTCCTGTGCCAGCTTGTGACTGTCCCGCTGTGGCTGGGAACAAGCCCCAGAGTGCAGCTTCAGATAAGCGGCTACAGCTCCCTCGGTCCCCAGGGGAAGGGCATGCTGTGGGCTGAGCGGCCCAGACAAAGAGCGGATGGCTCTGGATTGTCAAATGAAAGATTTAAAAGCTGCCATGGCTTGGGTGCAAAGGTGTTTCACTGCAAAGGTGTTTCTGGCTGGACAATGTCCCCAGGAACAAAGGATCTGCTGGGCTAGAGCACAGAGGAGGGTTTTGTCTTGCAGGACCAGACCCTGCCCTAAGCTGTCAGAATAGATCTGATAAGAGCTCTCTGGTGATTGGCTGGGCCGACTGCTCGGGAGCGAGACCATCCGCTCATTCCTCCCAGTTTAGTCCAACGCCAGGAACCAGGAATGGGCAGGGCCCTCCCCTAGTTGCTCACTTTCTGGCTCCGCCTGCCATGCAGCGTACACAGTGCTCAGTCCCAGCTGGGAGCACTTTGTGTGGGAGCTCAGCAGTGAGATGGTCACAAGAAATCTGCTGCTAATGATCAAATACCAACATTTGGGGACACTTAGCTTAAAAAAAAAAAAAAGGTGAATTATCATGCATTCAAGTTGTCTCCATAATGAGATCCCTGCCATTCCTTCCCATGCTGGGTGCTTTCTAAGTGGGAGACAAAGGGTGGGTGAGTGCAGGAGCCTTGGGTACACACAGCCCACACTGGACTGAGAACACAGGTAGGGCCTGGGGATCACTGGAGGTCCCAGGAGTAGGACCATGCCCCTGGATCTTTGCATATACTCATCTCCATCAGGGACCCACTAATAACTTGGTTTCCCAACTCCCAGGTCTGCCTTGGAAACTCTCACAATCCTTAAAGATGCAACAAAGAAGTGTTACTTCTGGAAGCAGAACCTCTCCCTACCCTCCAGGCAGGCTCAGTCATGCCACCTTAGTGTCTGCCTAGCCTCTTATATGCCCCTCTGTGGGGCACTTAGCACGCTAGGGTATTACCGCAGTGACCAGACAGCCTAGTTTTCACTGCATTCCTGATTTTAGGTACTTTGTTATGTTGGTTCCATAAATTCTTACAATGTTCTGGAAATTTTGGCTTTGACAGATGCTCCCTCCCAGAGAAATCCTTTGTCAGACCTATTGTGCTGATTTTAGGGGCTAGAAATGATGGGCATTGGATGGATCCCAGTTGTATTCATGCAGCTGCCACCTCCCCCAGACTGAGTTCCTGGAGATCAGGGACCGGAGTTGTGACCAGCTCCCCCAAGTCTAGCACTGTGACCAGAATGAAGTAGGGCTTATCTGATGTTGGCTGACATGACATTACATGCTTGATTGTACTGAATTTCCTCAACATAACTTTGTGAAGCTGTGAGTCTTGTCCCCATTTTACAGAGGAGAAAATTGAGGCTCAGGGGAGTTAAATAACTTTTTCATGAGCAAACAGCTAACATAGGGCTAGAGCCTGGGTGTACATGCAGGTCTTTATTCCTATACTATATATTTACTAGCTTAGTTTAAGCTCAGAAATGTCCTGAAATTGTTGAGTTAGAAACAAAAGATGCTTAGGTGAGAGGAGATCTGTTGGGTAACCACTGAGACCAGCCCGATTCATTCAAGGATCATAACAACATTCAGCCGAGCCTTCATTTAGTGTGCAAGGGCACGTTTTCCCCTCTGGCTGTTCTATCAAATTAACACACCCTGCCCTGTCTTTTGGAGCTTCTGATTTAAGACTGTACTTGTACTCCTTAAATTTACAAATTAAAAAACAAAACACCCAGACATGTGTACAGATAGAACACCAGAGCTAAAAAGGGATTGATTGTTTTACTCTAAGATGAAGAGACCAAGATCAAAGGAGACTCGTAGCTTACTGTGTGCCCAGCACTGTGCTAAACACATTTTTTTTGCAGTATTTCATTTTATAGAAATGTCAGTTGAGAATAGATTAAAATAGTGCCTACCGAACACTACCTGATAAGCACTGTTTTAATTTATCCTCAAGTGATAGATGAGGAAACTGAGGTTCAGAGAGACAAAGTGACTTGCCTAACGTCCCAGAGCTAATCCGTGGAGGAACCAGGATTTAAATCCAGATCAGTCTACTCCAAAGCACTTGCTCTCAGCCCCTTACACCCGGGTCAGGTCTTTCCTTCGAGGCGCTACAGCAGGTGGTCTGCCCTGCATCTAGTCCCCCCCCACCAACTGTCCTGAAAGCGATGCTGCTCTTGTCCTTTCGCACTGGCCACCCTCCTGCACTCAAGTTTAGCCCCTCTCTGGAATTAGCAAGAAGCTGCTCTTCCCAGTACTGGTGGTTATTTTTTCAAGTGTGAAATAATAAATATTATGGGATATTTTTAGTAAAAATATCTCCCTGCTTATACAATGAAGTGGTACCAAAAGCACTGACTTGGAGCAGATATATGGTTTGTTTTTGCAAAGATGAATCTAGTTCTCATATGGCAGCCCACTGGGAAGGCTAAAGTGTCCTGCGTGAATGAGAGGCTGAGCTTCAGGGAGCTGGGCTTGTGCTGACATCCTGACAGGGGAGCCTCTGGCCTGCTCCACCCAGAAGTGAGGATTCCCAGACTCCTAAAGCAGAGAGGAGTCGCCAGGGCCTTGAAGTGAAAAGACCTGAATTCATTTCTAGCCTGAGGATCCTAAGCCTATGAGCAAGTTATTTAACCTGTCAGTAAGGAGCTGCAGGGGTTAATTATGTAATATATATGGAAATGCCCGTGCTTGTATCTTGCTTAAGCTTCAAAACCTGCCAGCAACCCCAGTCCTCCCCCAATTCTGAGAATTACCATATTTTAAGATGAAATGTGTATGTAAGAGTATATGGAAGCATTGTTGAGAATTCTAGACCCTAAGAAATGTGTGGGCTTTAGGAAAGGACTCCTTCCCATCCCCCAACCCTACAATGTGTTTATCATACTTTTAATGTGAGAACACTTTCTTTTCTTTTGGCCCATCGTTTATTTGGTGAGCATTTACAGAATGGGCCAGGCACGGTCCACGAGCTTGCAGGAGAGACATCCTATCTGCCAGCACAGAGCATCTTGTGCAGGGCCTGGAAAACTTTAGGCCTTGGGTTCCTTCCTATCAGAAGCCAGAGAACATTTGCCCTCTTGTGAAACTCCCTGTTTCCTAGTTCTACCTTTGAGCATCCATCTAAGGAATGTGGTCCCCCCCCACCCCACTGACTCCCACTTGGCTCGGCCCAAGGGATCGCTGGGGGATTGCTCAAGTCTTTGGCCCGGCTTCAACTGGCCGTGGCTTTTTCCCCACTTGTGATCACAGCCAAGGGAAGCCTGGCTCTGAGGCCCACATGGATTGGGATCCCGGAAGGACTTACCCGACGGCTTGTCTGTGGAGGATGGGAGGCTGGTGAGGGTAGGCATGGTGGGCAGAGGGGGTGGCAGCACCTTCAAGTTCTGGTCACTCTGGATCTCATTCGTGGAGATCTGGTTGATGATGCGGTTGTAGGTGGGCGGCTGGTAGACCCGGGGCGGGGTGGCAGGGGGCGGCTGGGGGACAGGCCTGGCCGCAGGCACCCTCTGGCAGTGCTCCTCGAGCTGCGCGATGATCTCTGATTGGTTGTGGGCCAGCGTGGCCAGGTGCTGGTACTTGTGCTCCAGGTCCTTGTACTTGCTGGCCAGCTGCAGCATGTCGGCTGTCTGGTTGAGGATCCTGTTCTCCAGCTGCGAGAGCTCCAGCGCGTTGTCCCGCTTGCGGATGATCTCATGCAGGAGCTGCATGTAGAGCTGCGTGACGCGCGAGTTCATGTTGCGGCTCTCCTTGCGCAGCAGCTTCACCTCACTCACGATGCCGCCGTCCACCTCCACCAGCTGCTGCAGCGTCTCGATCTGCCGCTTCTGCTTGAGCAGCTCACTGTTGAGCAGCTCCAGCTCCTGCTTGTGCACTCGGTTCTCCAGGAGCACCTCGGGTTCCTTGGAGTTGACGCAGATGGCGCCTGTGACCCGCTGCTGGGGCACGATGAAGGTGTAGGTGCACTTGTCCTGGGACTCGCCTGCCCGCTTGTACCTGTTCAGGTAAATGAACTCTCTTGGCGAGCCCTCCTCAGCGCCCTCAAAACCGTCCTCCTGGCCTGCAGCAGTTCCCATGGCAGCCAACAGTCCCAGCCACCAGCACGTCACACACAGTGGCCTCATGGTCCTTGCAAAATGCTGGTTATTCTTTGTGAATAGATCTACGGAAGCCTGAAAGTAAACAGAAGGGAGAATCAACGGCAGTCCCACCACTGCCGGTGCCCTGTGCCATCAGTGATCCCAGCCTTCTCCCCAGGCAACGCTTTCCAAACACGCAGCTTCAGAAGGCCCCATTCTGCCATCCTGGAGTCAGAGAGGAGGGCAGCCATTCTGCAAGCAACAGAAGGAGACAGGCAGGGCCCGGATAGGGAAAGGGAAGGGCCCGGGGCATCTGAAGGCAGGAGGCCATGGCCCTGCCACTCCTGGAGCCAGCTCCAATGTCCACAGCCCTCATTGCTGAGCTCCTGGCGGGGAGCCCAGGAACAAAATCAGAGAAGCCACAGGCTGTTGTCCAATCTCCCTTCTCCTCTGCCTCCTCAGACTGACCAGTCTCCCCGTTCTACACTCTCGTACCCCGTCAGTTTTCCCCTTGTAACACACGCCACAGTCGTGATGAACTGCAGTTCTGCCGGACTCTAAGCTCCACGAGGACAGGTCCTGTGTCTGATTCAACCCTGTTTCCCCAGGATGTTGTACCAAGCAGGGTCTTGGCAAATATTTGTTAAATGAATGAATTGCTAGACACGGTATGGAACGTGTTCGGTTTTTAGTGGACAGTGCCGGTGGAAGGATGTGTCTGGTCACGTGGCTGTAGTCTGTGTGTTAGCTAAGCTACAGAGCCCAAACAGGAACAAACAAATGAGCTCTTCTATAATAAATCCAAATATTTGCAATAGCCAGTGGCTGCATGGTCCCGACCACTGCAACGTGATTAAGTCAGAAGGGAGCAGAGCACAGACATGTGCCTCTGGATTATTTTAGTTCTATTCTTGGACCATTCATCCCTTCACCAGATGTCCATGGAACATCTGCGGTGTGCCTGGCAGTGTGCTGGCTGCCGGGGCTACAGCTACAGACAGGACAGAGCCAGCTCCTGCCCTCACGGGGCTTCCACATCATTACAGCATTCCCAAGCGCTGTGAAGCAGAAGGATCACAGGCTCAGAGAGGGTATAACAGGGAACTGACCTAATGGAGGGGTCAGGAATGCTTCCCTGAGAAAGTGACCTTTACACTGACCCTTGAGGGATGAGGAGGAGTTAGGCGGGCCAAGGATGGGAGGACATGCACTAGATAGATGCCTCCTCTCGCCCACTCGAGGGCCTTGCTCCAGCGGTCCTCCCCCACCTCTTCTGCGTCGTCACGTTTTCCTATAGTCACGCTGTTCTTTCTCTCAGCTTAACACTCTCTGACCTCACACTCCCTCTCCAGCTACTGTTTCATTTCTCTGCTCTCCTTTTTAGCAAAGTCCTCCAAAGAATTGCTTACAGTCACTGTTTCCAGAAAGTTCCTCTCTTCTGTTCTCTCTTGAGCCCACCCCATCAGGACTTGCCCCCTCCTCTCCACTCCAGGTGCCCTAGATGAGATCACCAGTGGTCTCCATTTGCCAGATCAAAGGGCCGGTTCTTGGTCCTCGGTTAGTATTTTGCCTGTCAGCTCTGTGGGGCTTGGTGGCTCCTGAACTTCCTTTCCAGAACACCGCCCTTTACTCTGGCCTCTCTGGCTGCTCTTCAGCCTCCTTTGCTGGTTCATCCTCATATTCCTGTGCTCTTGCTGTTGGAGGGCTCGGAGTTCCGTCCTCAGACTCTTGTTTACCTCTGTGGCCTCATCCAGTCTTCGTTTCCTTCAGGCACTGATCACACCCGCATTTATTTCTCCAGCCCAGACCTCTCCCCTGGACTCTAGACTCACATCCAACTGCGTCTTTGACCTTCCACTTAGCTATTTACTAGGTATCTCAACTTATCCAGAAACGAATTCCTGCTTTTCCTCATACCTCCATCCCAACCTATTCATCCCAGTTTTTCTGGCAACTCTATTCAGTTGCTCAGACTAAAAACCTTGAAGTCATCCTAGATGCCTTTGTTTCTTTCACACCCCACATCTAATTTCACCACCAAATTATGATAGCGATATCCTGGAAATATTCCCAGAATCCTACTGCTTCTCTCCACCGCCCCTGCCACCACCTGGCACATCTCACCTGCATCTCTCGCCTGGCCCATTGCAGTGGTCTCCTAACGGGTCTCCCTCCCCTGCGCTTGTCCACCCTACAGTCTGTCCGCAACCCACCAGCCAGAGTGATCCTTTTAAAAAATTTAGATTGGGTCGCTCTTCTACTCACAGCCCTGCAAGGGTCCCCAGCTTGGAGAAAAAGCTAATGAGTCTCCAAGGCCATCCTTGATCTGGCCCCTGCTCCCTCACTGATCTCCTCCCTCACCCCTCTCCCCCAGCCACCCCTCCAGCCACACTGCCTCCTGGACATTCCTCAAGCTTTCTAACCAGACTTCGGACTCAGGGCCTGTGCACCTGCTGTTCCCGGGCCAGACGCTCTCGCTCCTGTCTTCATTGCTCACTCCCTTGCCTCTTTCAGGTCTTGCTGAAATGTCACCTTTTCAGTGAGATCCTCCCTGCTTATTTAAGATCCGGACCTCACCACCTCCCCTCCAGAGTTCTCATCACCATCGTCGGTCGCTATCTCCCTGCCTAGCATGTGGCCCGGAGTACGTAGGAGCTGAGCGGTGGGGAGTGCTCAAAGAGGGGTGTGAGGGCAGGGAGCCCATGGACAAGTGACTGTCTGAGGGCGGGAGCTGCACCATGTTGTGTTTGTTAGTAGCACCCACAGCATCTGTTTACTGAGCACCTACCCCGTGGTGAAGATTTTGCAAGTGTTTTCTGCTTTCTTGTATTTAAAGTAGTTGCTGGTGTTACTTGTACTTTACAGATGAGGAAACTGAGACTCAGAGAGGCTAAGTGATTTGCCCAAGATCACAAAGCTAGAAGGTGGCAAAACCAGGGCTCAACCCTGGTCTGATGGACTTGAACCTTAAAACTCCTAATCACCACACAGAAATGCATTTAATCTGGTTGTTAGTAGGGAAAAGGTGTTAGCATCACCACCTTCTGCTTTCACATTAAGCCATGCTAAAATAACAACCGTCGCAGAAGACCTGAAGGTTTTGTCCTCCCTGGACCCCTCTGGGGGCTTCTCCAGTGAGCACCCTGGGTCCAGGCTCCACCTTATGCCGGCCAGTGGGCAGCTACAAAACAGACCCTGTGCTCCCCCGGGGGCATGCTGAGCTGTTTTCCACTTAAGTGACAAAGCCCGAGCATGGTTCCACTGGGCAGCTCAGGCCTTTCTGGCCAGGGAGAGAAAGGTGTTCGAGAACTCCTGGTTTGGCTTCTGCTAGGAGGCAGGGCTGCAGTGACGCCAGTGGAAACCCAGCTGAGTTTGGAAGTGTTTGCCTGGTTTCCAAGGGCACTTTGGCGGCTCCGGCTCCAGCGCTGGTAGCCACGCCTGCCCCAGAACAATGGGGAAAACCCGCCCCTCCCCCACCCTTCTGAGCTAGGGCCGGCCTGCTGGGCCACTGCCTTCTTCCGGCTGCTTACCTGTAGCAGCTGATGACAAACACCTTTCTGTGCTGGGGTGTTTGGCCTCAGCCATGGCCAAGAAACTGCCAGAGGCCCAGGGAGGCACTCTGGTTCCAGGAAAGGGTTGGTTTCCAAATCTTCCCGGGCATCCAGACCCAGGAGGGCTGTACTGTTTATCACTGGGTTCTGTCCCCTCCCAAGTGTGGGCTCTCGCAGCTCCCCAGGCAAGCTCTTGCCATTGGACTTGAGATCTCAAAGGCAGAGCCTCTCCTGTGAAATGGAGTGATCTAACCTGCCTTGCACACTAGTAAGCAACATACAAGCACTTTAGAAACTAGAGATTGGAATAATGTGATAGCGGTAGGATAACAAGAACAACAACAACAAAATGGTAACAATACAAACTAACAGTAAGGAGCACTAAATTTGGGCCAGGAGTTGAGTTAAACACTTGTACCATCTCTTTGACTAACACTTATACAGAGTTTCAGGTTTCAAGGTCCTTTGCATACACATTGTCTCATTTAATCACTCCAACATTCAGAACTAGTTATTAGTATGGTGACTGTTTTGAGAGTAAGGAAACTCAGAAAGGTGTTGGGTAACTGGCTTGAGGTCACATTGGTAGGGGTGGGACCTCTTGAAACCGTATGCTTAATTGTGGTTCCGACTGTTCTGTCTCCATGGGGCCTGGGCTTAGTGGGGTGACTCGGAGCTGATTGGTTACAGGAAGAAAGGGAAAGCAAGGGCAGCATGCTGGGTGCCTGACATGCACCATCCCAGGTAATCCAGTGGGGTTGTTGTTCCCTTCATTTTGTCAGTGGAGACATTGAAACCCAGACAGGCTAAGTGACTTGCCCGGGAACACACAGCAGATGAGAACTCGGGTCAGCCTGATACCAAGGGCCGCGCTCTTTGCACTGCGCTCAACCTCGGAGTCATTTATGTTCCTTAAAGATTCCAACCCTGATTTCCCCCTCCCCTCTTCAGCATTTTGCTAGTTTGGCACTTCTTAATGGGCAGTAATGAGTTTGTTTACTTTTGCTCTCTTGGTATTTATTCAACTAATTGCATCCCAAGAGAAATAACTCCCCCAAGCATTCCAGCCATCTTAGGCCTGGAGAAGAACTCAATTCCAATCAAAGTGATGCTCCTCAGTTTCTTCCTGTGACCAGCAAAGAAAAGCAAGTCCAATTGTTTTCCTTGGCTTCAAAATTAAAATCAAAACGGTTCTTAAAATTGCTTTTCCACATTGTATTGTGAGGAGTTTCCATTATGCACGGGCTTTTCCTCCCCACAGCGAGGCTGCTGTGACTGCTGGTGTGACTGCGCCATGTGACAGTCTTTGTACGCTGGGAGGCAGCCTCCCCAGGGCTTGGGCGTGGGTCCCACCCAGCCTCCAGTGGGCTGCATCTGACTCCCTGCTTGGCCTGCTGCGGTGGGGCCACACACCGTGTGTCCATCCCTCTCACTACCACGGAGCTGCAGCCCAGGCAAGGGGCCACTTTGTGGGAAGAATCATGGTTTTCATAAGACGGAGCTGTGTGTCCTGTTCTGTGGCAGAAGCTGCTGGCCGGGGGT